TAGAGTACTAGCGAGTTAGCCGACCTTAGCGTAAACCTTAAACCTTAAATTTTTTTAAAAATTAAAAATACGCTAAATTTACTAATATATCTATATATAAAAATTACCTAATTAGGAAATATAATAGTAGCTATAAGTTCTCATAGAATATAGAATAAGCGCTGAGTGGCCCTAGGTTCTCATAGAATATAGAATAAGCGCTGAGTAGCCCTAGGCTCCCTGGGCTCCCATAGCAAATTGAGTTGCGCTGGGCTGCGGTCTAAAACACCGATGTAGCTAGAAATAATAAAACTTAGAGAGAATATAACGTATCTAGGTATAGCTAGAGATAAAAAAGTCTAGGTACGACTAGAGATAATAAAGCCTAGATACGACTAGAGATAATAAAACCTAGAGAGATATAGTACGTATAGATATACTAGCTATTAAACGAATTAGAAATTACGTACTTAAAACGATAGAATAGAAGGGCGATAGAGGGTTTACTATATAGACTATAGGAGTATAGGGAAAATATCGATTATATATAGGAGTATAGGAAAAATATCGATTATAGTATATTTATAGGGTAGAAAATAGTTACTATAAGAGCTTAGTTATAATATATAAGCGTAGGGAAAACTATCCTTACTATACGGTAGCCCTAGGCTCCCTAGGCTCCTATAGTAAATTAAGTTACGCTGGGCTACGGGCTAAAATACCGATACTATTAAGGAACCCTACCTTAGTTAGAACTACTTATAGCTCGGATTATAATACTAAGTAACTATTAATATTACGTAATATTATTCGGCTGTATAACTATACGGTCGAATCTAGATATCGCTAGTTCTTACCAAGACATCCTACGGGTTTAACCCGTGATAAACTACTAAAGTATACAAGAATAAGTTCCATTTCGTAAACCTTTCCGAGATCAAAAGCTTTCTTCCTACGGAGTTGTAAACGTATTCTATAGATCGCCGGGTAAAGTGGGTACATGGCCGGGATTTAGAGCATTTCACCTTTCTTTTCCTATAGCGCAGACAGCTAAACTCCCCCTAATTAGCGGTCGGGCGAGTCCCCGAGATTGGGCAAACGAGGCACGTAGATCAATACTTACGCATTGCTAGCACGTTCCAAACGATCACGTCATGGGAGCCAGGAGAATCTATCCTCGTGATTCCATCGCCCAACAGGGACGAAGGAGCTTCAATATGGAAGTGCCAGTGGCTGCTTAGATTTGACTCAGTTTCGGCATCGGTCCCGTGGGTAGAATACGGTGAAGCAGGTACACCCTTATTGGGGAACTTGGCTAAGCTGCTTTTGGACCGCATTCAAGCATGAGATCTCTGTCTCTTTCAATCCTATGGACTCTGTTCTTGTTTATATATAAACTTTTAAGGCATTTAATCTCCGTGAGCCCCTTTGCTATGATTTCAAATCACTCATTGATTTCCAAGCATTACAAATGCTGATACAATAGTAATTTTACGACAGGAGTAACTGGAATCACTCAGAGTTTAGTATCTATATTTGTTAGCGCGTCACGTGTAACGTGAGTTGGTATGCGCTAGTTTATTGGCGCCAACAACCCTCTCTGCGCTTGGCACTACTCGTCCCCCCGTAGTCCATCCCCATGATTCTTGCTCATGACCTTGGCATTCCCGACCGCGGCTCCTTCCCCTGAGGATCGTGTCATGTTTTCGTGGTTCTGCTCGAACAGCAGTCGGTTCTCGTCGAGGAGAAGGCCGTCGGCACCAAACTCTCTGGCCGCGTTTGCCAGTTCCTGGAATTGATGATTATGAAGGTTTCGGCTGAGTGGCTGCCTGGATGAGGAGAACCATTGAAACTTAACGAATCTCCGAGAAGCTTGATCACTTGAGCGACTATGCTCCGGCTGTCTCGAGTCTCTGAATCGAAGATGAAGTGTGCAATCACATCATTCTAGTTGTCCAAGGGGTCATCATGGCTGAACATTTCGGTAGTCATCTCCAAAGTTTTCCAGCCTTCTGCTATCATGTTTCGCCCTCGTCAACAGATATCCAAGATACTTGTGCCACTCAGGTGCCAGTTCAAGCCGCAGTGCGTTAAGCACTGCATCAGCACGGCCTTCCATATACCAGTACCCATCAAATCTCTTCATGAGGGTGCAAAAATAAGCCATTATGATCATTGCTGGGGGACGGTGCTCATCAAAGAGTCGAATGAATAGGTCTGGTATTCTATTAGGCCATGCCAACATGATTGTTTTGAGATTTGTCAACGAATCCCCACTCCACGGTGCTGCAGCTGTGAGTCGAAGTTGGTAGATAGATCGCCGGTAGGCTTCTAGTTCCTCCTTCGAGCTTGCTTGAAGAACCAACACATCTGTCAAGAGATCTTCAGACAGCCGACAAAACGCTCGATCATCGTCGCTTCGTATGGCTACTTCTGTCGGCAAGCAGAAACTTGCCAACGGCGACAGTGGACCGAGCTCGATATAGTGTTTTAGGGATAGAAACAAGGATCCGCAACCTCTGAGGAAAATGATCCAGGTAACGAGATCTCTGCAGGCTTGATTAATGGTACTAGATAGCACTGTAGCTTCACAATTTTGAGAATTGAGGCTCAAGATGACCAGCAAAGTCGAGAAGGCGAAAACGGCATTGCAATTGTCCGGCCCTACAGCCAACATTGATGCCCGGAATGGGCCGACAGCAAGATACTGGTGGCTTGCTGCCTTGTAGAAGTATTGGGAATATTGTTCAGGATGGAGGTATGCCATGTGCATGGCTGCAGTGGCCAATATTCCGTGCATTAGGAAGTCGTGTGAGCCAGCGAGGACAGGTATCTCGGATTTCCAGGGTCTAGAAAATGTCAAAGCGGTGGATGTGATAAATTGATGCCACAAGATCATGTCGTCGATGTCGAAAGCACCCAACCCTCCCATTGCTGACTCAACATGGCTCGGAGCTTGCTTGGACGACCTGGTGTTCCTTTTCCGGCTCGGCTGCTCAACCGCCTTGACCATGTCCATTGCATAGGTACACGGCAAATCTCGTTTGGAACAGCCCCCACAGACTGGCTTCTTTTCGTTACATTTTTGTTTCCTGCGCTTGCACTCGAAACACCCTGCCTTGGACTTTGTATGAGATTTGCGAGTGGAAGGGAAGAGTCTGAATATTTTGACCTGGTGCGAGTCGGAGTTGGCTGGCGTCAACATGAGATAACTCATCTAGTCAGACACCTAAGATTGCGAATTAAACGTATACTTAGAGAATAAAACCCCAGGGATGCGCAATACGATTTCCCTTGGGCGTGGTTTAATGGTCCCGTAGGAATAAAAGTGTTGCCTAGGCTCTGTCGAAAAGGGGATATCAGCGACTCTGCCTGGTGCTGATATCCAAATCAGGAAATCCGTATTTCGGATCGTCAAGTGTCTTAGTTCCGATCCAATTCGACTTTGCCGACGAGATAGCCAATAGATTCCTGCCATTATGATTTCACCTTTTATTCTCCATCCATAATCCTAGGGCCACGAAGTAATTTCCACGCTTTTCGTGGTATGGAAAGCCGACTAGTCTATCAAGCTACACTCACGATATACTTGCCGTGCCTTCGTTCTCGGCAAGGATGAATACTATAGGTGCTGCCTGTTGCAGCAACTCCATAAAACTTGTTAATGTGTTGAGTGAGTGCCTCTCAATCTTCCCTTCTTGCCGCACATAGCACGTAATTCTCAGAAAGATGGTTTCTACGAGTGGCAGAATCGCCATAGCTCAACTCACATTCTTCATTTCGGCGACACCTCCTACACTATATTGCCTCTGGACCCGTGGCCCACGCAGATGTCTTGGATGGTTATTCATGTTCTTTTTCGCTACTGTTCGAATTATCGCCTCAATCCTCATCCTAAGACAGGACTCCAATCAAGGACCTCCAAGCATTGCGAGTCAGGTAGTCAGCGGAATTGCTATCTCGCCACTCCTCGTGGGAATTGTTGGGGTGATGCACGAAACGTATGCCATCAAATGTGTTTTATGAACACTAGATCTGTCTTTGCTGACCAGCCAATCTAAGTTTTAATACCAATCGCAGTCCGCATCCGTGGTTATTCGGCTGGATTTCTCAAGTATTCATTCATTTGACGATACTTGGTGTTCTTGTTCTCATCATTATGGGCAATCTGGCTTTCACCAACACCGCGAATGGTGCAGCGCAGATATCAAGAGGAAGGATTGAGCTTCTTGTTGGACTATTCGTAGTGCTTGGACTTTGGCTATTCATGTCTTGCCAGCGGATCCTATGGCATTATTACCAAAGGCAGGCAAAGGCTGAGAGACTAGTACGTCCATTTTATTTCGTGGCAGTAGCTAGGGTGGTCACCATCAATATGCTGATGCAGAGACAGTTGGTTCACGCCTCCGGTGTTGCCTTAGTTCTTCTCTTTCTTCGAATCCTCCATCCCCTTCTCAGTGCGCTTATCAACTCTCCTTCATGGAATCCAAGGAATGGAGGTTCTCTCGGAGTCAAGGTTTCACTAAGCATTGTGCCAGAGTTTATGATTGTCTTGGTGCTTGTAACAGCAGGTGTTCACACGCGACATTCAACTGGCGTCCAGACCCAACGGCAATGCCTGGACAGTGAGAATCATGAGGACGAGGGAACCGAACTCGTGAGGCCAGCATAATACTTAAGTTGGAGCTGATATATCAGTGGCACCTTATAGCCATTCCGAGAACAATGACAATCTTGACTGTTAGGAATGCCTCGGGGGCTCGCTGGCAAGCATATAGCTGATGGGTCCAAGATATCCTCGCACATTCGTGCGAGATTCTTGTCTTTTGGAGCCATTCTTAAGGGCTTACGGACCAATAGCTTGGCATTAGTAAAGTTATTTTATCTTTATTTATAGTTCCTATACAGCTCTCTTCTTCACCAGATATAGCTCTAACCTAATGGAAGTGTTATAGGATTGGACGTAGTAATTCTTAAGATATCGTTAAGAGAAATAGTAGTGTTGTACATCCCTTAGTAAGTATTAGTTAAACTAAGGATTTAAGGAAAATGCGTTTGTAACCTTGTTAAACGTAGGGACATAGTATATAGCGATTGGTAAGTTTATGCAGAGCATTAACTCAACGCTATATCTATCTACTAATACAGCCAGCCCATGTTTAAGTTAAATTGCACTACTATCTCAGCCCTAACCTAATGAAAATAGCTGTTTCCATGCATTTAATGTGCTCGTACCATTTTTGACGGAGTAGTCAATCTAACTTATACTACGATCTAGTAGGTAGAATGGAAGAGGCCGCCAACAGGAGTATTCTCAGCCAGCGTATTGTAAATTATGATAGCCTAGCGGGTCTCCGCGACGTGAGTCGTGATCCCCTTATTTTTAAGGAATATTAAGGTGGCCTAGTCTATATGTAATTTTATGTCTATACCCTGCGAGAGGACTATAGTAGTACCGTGAGATATAAGCTCCCCGACGTTAGTAGGTTAGATTCTAGGCTTATGCCGTGTGCCTATCTCGTTCTAGTCCTAAGCGCGACCACCGCCGGAGAAGAGCTTAAAGTCCTTCCCGGTACTAAGACTATTAACCTCGAGTTAGCCCTAGGAAACGGATAGAATTTTTAGGGAGGTTTTATCTATAATTAATCCTCTAACGTTACTAAGCTAGTCGTAATGGAATACCTAGTCATCTATCCCCTAGGGAATGTCTCGGGGGAGCGAATGGCTAGAGCGAACGGAAATACGAGCGAATACTAAGTAATGTAAACTAGGCCTAATTTAGCTGTAAAATTAACCCCTTTTATATAAGTCTAGGCACTACGTTATAAAATACCCTATGTTAAGACTAAGCGATACCCTATTAACGCCTAGTCACGTGATTAGGCTTATATAAGCTAGGAT